GCTTACTGGTGTACACCGCTTAGAGTGCTTGCACTTAAAGCGGTATATAAGTCTCATAAATAAATAAATAAATCTGTAGGGTGAATACAAAGGAGTTTGCTGCCTGTATTTTGCTGGTAATTATAAAAAATGTATGGCACCTAATATCGGCCAAGTTCTTAGGTACTTGAAGCAGAGAAACAACATACATGAGTTGTGTAAATGATTTGCTCCATATGTTCCTGATGCTTTAGCATTATGAAATGGATTCAAAACTGAATTTTTTGTTCATATTGTAGGACATTCTGGAAGTTCCATCAGAAATGTTAAGGCACTTTAGTCCTGTGATATAAGATGTTGGATTAGGACAGGTTTAACATCACCTTCAGTTATGGAAGCTCACTGGGTGACTGAGCCACTTTCTCTCTTGGCCGAGAGGTTATAAAGAGCTCCAAGAAATAAAATGAAATTAATAGTAGCAACAGCAATTTACTAAACTTATATGCCAGCTAACTCTCAACAATTCTGGGCTTTGTCACCCCATAAATATGGGGTAACAATGGAAATAATAATATTTGATTTTGTCAAGTTCCCAATAACAGTGATAAAAATACTTTGAAACATTTATCCAAAGCTGCAATCAAATAAACTAAATCACCCAATCTAATGCCATTGTGGTTGGGGAACTTTCTAATCATTCTTATGGATACTTAATAGGATTTTCTTTGAAACGATCATAGTTTGCTATTTTTTTATTTGGAGTATTATTGAGTCATTTTTAAGGAGGAAAAAATAATTAAGATAATATGATTGAATAATGGGAGAATAGGCTGCTCTGGTTTCCATTCTTACAATCAATTACTTACATAAGAACTGCAGATGTTAAACAAATGTTTATTTAATATTCTTTGGGATTTAAAGTATAATTTTGGAACTGATGTAACTGATGGAATTAAAAAAAACCTCATGCTGTTTTGACAGCTTTTGAAAAATACAACTATTTGACAGAAAAGATTCTGAATCATGTAAATTTTAGGAATCAAAGCACAATGAAGAAAAATACATATTTTAGCAGGCACAGCCATGATGGCATATTTTTTCTCAGAAATATTTCTGTGGACCACTCAATGTTTACTAGCTTTCTCAAAATGAAAACTGGACAAGGAGAACTAGGGTTGTGAATATGTGTGTGAATATTCAGTATTGCAGCTGTAGGCAATAGGTAAAAGACAGTAATTTAGCCTTTCAGTAGAGTTTGACAATCTATTCAGCTACTATCACACATTCTCTTGTACAGACTCCAAAGAAAATAAAAATATATTTAAAACTTACGAGAACAAGCAATCTCATTTTAAGAATGTCAAAATATTAAAATCTAACAAGTAAAATCTTGTATCGTCATATGAGAATACTGAAATCCCATGAGATTAACACTTGCCTAAAATTATATTTAGTATTTTATGATATTTTTTGGCAATTTTTAATTGCTTGTAGATTTTAATTTGATTTGAAGATGTCATGATAATCTATTAATGTCTTTGTCTGCTGTATCAGTGACTTCTGTCTTGTAGCATTAAAATAAGATTGGGCAATTTTTGAGAATTCATGGCTACAATACAGCCTCCTAGCCTTCTAGAGGATCTTCTTCTAGATCTTCTGGGGAATGAAACAGACGGGTCCAAATATTTTAGCCCATTTGGGAGGGATAATAGTGGCGTTTAAGGCTAGGAATGGGACCAGGAAACTTTGGGAATCTCACATTACCATTAACTCTCCTGAACTAAAAAAATAAAATAAAATCAACTTTAAATCATTATATTTGGGGCTAATATGAATTCATTTTCTTTGTCTTCTAAGGATGGGGAAAGATTTGCTTCCTGAAGACTTCCAATTCCCTTTCCCTTCCTCAACTTCAACCATTCCCCCAATGCATTCAAATGTATTACAGTTAGTTCACAAACTGTAATTCTAGGCAGATTTTTATCTGTCTAGAATTACGGAAAGAAATGGAAATGGTTACCTTCAAGAAATCAACTGCTTCCACTCCCTTGCTGAAATGAAGCCTGGAGACCCAAATTTCAAGTCTCCGGTTACCATAACCTGTTCTTCTCAGCACTTTGACAGTAAAGCCCCTATATCAGTGATGGCAAACCTTTTAGAGACTGAGTGCCCAAACTGCAACCCAAAACCCACTTATGTATCATTGGGTGCTGGGTGGGTGTGGCCAATTGGGTGGGTGTGGCCAATTGGGTGGGCATGGCTGCAGTGGTAACAGCAGACTGGATGGGACTAAAAAGTTCAGTCAATCAATTCCAACTTTGCGAGTTCTTTTTTTTGCCTGCAAGAAGTTGAAATTGATTGATTGAACCTTTTTTTTTTTTGCACACAGCAGCGGAGGCCTAAAGTGAAAAGTTTTTATAAAACCCAGCTGAACTGGGGTGATGGCACGCGTGCCCACAGAGGGCTCTGCATGCCATCTGTGGCACATGTGCCATAGGTTCGCCACCACGGCCCTACATCATAAATATAAAAATGAGAAAGTTTTTTTTTTTCAGATGTATAGACTTTAGCAAAAAACATGTTGAATGTTAATAGAGAAAGGAGTGATGAGAATAGCACAGATATCTTAAGTTGCAAGACATAAAAATAGACTCTCTGTTGAATTGAGTTTGCCTTCTGGCGACTTAATACACACATCAGTCTTTAATGCAGCCAGTTATGTGGTATGTTTATTATTGCCTTCTTTTAGGACCTTTTTTCCGCCAGTTCCAGTGGTGACACTTGACCAATCTCAACTTGACCAATCTCAACTGATCTCAGAAAGCAACACAAGATCAAATTAATACATAGTATAGAGACCACCAAGGAATTGCAGGTCTCTTGGTTATATTTCAGGTTGGAAGGAAAAAATTCTAGAAGGTGGCAAAGGCAAACCACTTCAGTAATACAGCCAAAACTGCACAGATGCAGTCATCAGGAATCAAGGCAAATTTGGAAACATCTACCCTTAATATAAAAGTATTTATCACCCCACCTTTCTTGAAGATGTCTTGCTAATGATTTTTCATGAATACGAATGTATAATGTAATCTTCCTTAGTCTACCTAACAGCCAAGGCCACTAAATTTGGTTTTCTCTAATCTAAATAATTTTCCAGCTTCTCTTGACACGTCTTGCTGTATGCATGATTGGCTTTGTTTAGCAATGGTGATGAATGGCAGGGCTGACATCTGCCCATCTCCGATTGGCTGTTTATAGCTGTTGTGGACATGTCCCCCAAAAGTGTCTCCCATGTGCCCTCCTTGGCCATTTTGATTTGTGTTGTTGGACTGACATGACACCAGGAGAGCAGTAGTATCCATGTTGTTAGAGAAAGAAAGAAAACAGAACCTCTCTGAAGTGAACTTCCAGGAAGAATATGCTTTTTTCTACAATAGGTTGACAGGCAGATAGGTAGATCAGTATTGATACTTAAGGGCTCAGATAGATGGCTATGCTTATCACTCTATCAATCTATGAAAACATGTCTTTCACCAGCCCACACCAGGGGAACCACTGGATAGATTTTACACACACACATACACAACCTCGGGCAGAAAAATTCATCAATTTACACTTGCCCCAAAGTAAATTCATAGGAGAGTATCACTAGCCTTATAACTGAAGCAGAATGATTGGTTGTGGGGACAGAACAAATTGTGCTGGGGCAATTTTCTGCTATCTTGCAGAATGGAGAACAGCAATTAACCAATTGCCTGGATGTGCCTTATCCAGTCTCACTGCAAGGTATCTTATTGATGGGAAGATTAGCCCAGCAGAGAATTTTGGGGTTTGAAGTCCATACACCTTAAAGTTGCTAAGGTTGAGAAATGCTGCTCTAGTGGATGTTAGTCAGTACTCCCACAAAAGTGTGATTTTGCCTCATGCTCTGTGGTGGAAGTTAACAATATGGGACAGAAATAAATAGGAATGATTCTCTGCCTTAACCCAGCTCACTAGCAGTTCAGCTCTTGTCCAAAAATGCCACTCTCTTCTGTCAGTTCACATTCTTCTATAGTATCATTGAATCAAATAATAAGCAGTTGGAAACAGTGCATTTTTACAAAGAAATTTTATCTTTCTACAGATGTCCAATAGTCACACTCTTGCAAAATCCACTTTCTGTACAACCCAGTCTGTTTAGTCAAGAAATAATATACTTGTGAAAATGAAATGAAATATGCATTCTTCATTTAGATACTGGAAATATGTAGATCTTCGGAACCATGATTTATTTGCATCTGAGTAGTCTATCTTAACTTCATTATTTGGGAAGTGATTTAAAACTATTTAGAGGTTTGTACATGGAAAATGTCGTGATGTAATTTTAAAAATCCTAGTAAAATGAAAGCACTAAATTAAAACTAACTGGCTTGCCTCTCAATGGTGGGCACCCCATCACTGGAGGTTTTCAAGAAAAGATTGAATAGCCATTTGTCTGGAAGGAAATAAGGTTTGCTACCTTGGGTAGAGAGGGAGTTGGACTAGAAGACCTCCAATATCTCTTCCAGCCGTATGATTCTATGAATATTTCTATAGATTAGGGTGTCAGATTGCATCAAATTGCAGGAGACTTATAGTTCCAATAAAGTGACAGCTAGCTCTGTAAAGGCAATTGGCAGTGGATAAGGTGAGCTGGGTTTCTTGATGAACAGAAATATCTTGTTCTCATAAGAAAGCTATGTTACCAAGCTTAACTCAATAAATCCACTAACTAACCACCCAAACAACCAGCCAGCCATCTGGGTTAATAGTAGTCATAGGAAAAAAGAAAATCCTCATATTCATGCTCAAGTACTTCCACTTACCTCAAGTAGCACTTTGAATCCCATCCTCGTTACTTTTTTATACTTACAACTTAACCCAATACATCCAAGCCCCAAAGAGAACATTGGAAATGTAAAGAAGGGAGAAAGACTGCCATATTTGAAAGATGATCAAAATTTAATAATGAAGACCAGAAAGAAAAAGGAAAAGAAAAATACGATATATTTCGTTTATTATTGCTCTCAAAGGGCTTGATAGTCAAATATACAGGCTATGTTCTATTAAACCAGAACAAAATAGTGGAAAGTATAAAATCTATTCTGACTGTTCCAATCCAAAGAAACTGATATTCTTTATGCCGTACACTGCTATTTTAAGAAATATTCTTTCACATACTCTGCTTATTTGTTATTTTGTTTGAAAGACAAATCAAAAAGATGAGCTGTCATTGTGCAGTGTTGTACACTTTAGTTTTCAAAGTGAGTTTGTTTTTTGAGACTTCAAACAACATCTACTATGGTTTTAAAACAAATATGATCAGTATGTTAGGATTTGAAAATAAAACAGAAGTGTGGACACATTTGTCCTCCCCATAATAGGCATGCACTACCTTCTATTATCTGCCTTAAGCAGAAAGTGGACACCTGTTTATTCTTCCTTGTAGCAATATTCTCAATGACCCTCCCTCCGATCCCACCCTGTCCCATTTATTCCTGTCAAAATATCTCATTTTTAATCTATCAGCACAGAACTCCTTATAACTGCAACACAAAACATGAGGTCCTTCTACTTGTTTTCTGTTAGAAATATTTTCAACATCTTTGTCAGAAAGCAATTATATACTATCTGCCAAAGGGAAAAAACTTCCAACAAGCAAGACTTATTTATCAAGCTTAAAAAAAAATGTTTGCCTAGTCAGAAAACAGAATCATTCTTAACTATTTAAAAACAAACACAAACAGAACAATTTACTGAGTGAATAAGAGATTATGTGTGGATTCTGCCACTTCCCCCAAAATCACCTTATTCAACTTCCAGTGAAGTGAATCAGAGCTCCCAATCCTTATAGACAAGGTGAATATGATTCTTTGTAGGAAGGATTACTGTTTATTCTGGGCCTGGTAGTGCAAAGGGGAACAATGCAGCAAAAAGTTGTATTCTAAATATGCATGTATTCACACAGAAAATAAACAAATGTGCATCAGACTTTGCTGTAGTAGTTCCCACTGCTAGAGATGAGTTACAAAATCTAACTATGAAAACACTTAAAATGAGCTCCAAAAGATAGAGAACCTTAAGTGTACGGTTAGTGTTTGAAGGTAAAATATGACATATTTACTTTTGGCTATAAAAAATAACTATTTAGGAGAATTATTAAAATAATATAAATCAGATAAAGATCTATGTTTATGAAGAATTTTAATTATAAAGCTGAGTCAGATTTTGTATGTATGTACGTATGTATGGATTGAACTGATGTCAAATTTCTTTCCAACACTGAAAAAAAGGAAACCACCATGACCACATGCTAATAAATTAATACTTCCTTTCTAAGTATTTGCAAACATCAGTCAGCACAGCTACAGATTAAAGATATCCGCTCGCAGATTCTATGAGGTTTCTTCCTGGTGGTAAACTATTTACATACAATAACCATTAAAGAGCTGCCATATAAATCTAAATTTGGCTGGCATGCAGTCCACTTCAGCCTTTCCAAATGGAGGCACCGCCCATGCACTGGAATTGGATATGGATGCCACATAAAGCTATTTAGCTCCTCTGGGTATATTTCCAAGCCAGAGAGAGTAAAAAACATTATTGTAACATTAGCATGGCAGAAAATTTGTAAAAAAGGTATAACCTTACCCCAACCTCCAATGTTTAGGTATTTAAGCAACTGTTGGTTTACATGGCAACATATATGGATAACCAGGCAACTTAGATCCTACCCCATCAACATGTTTACTTGGAAAATATCTCTTCTGATTTCAGCTTAAAATCTTTTCAAGTAAGCATATATCAGGTTTGAGTCCTAGAGGTACCACCTTGTCCCCTAGTTCTCAATGTAAGATCTTTTCATAGTGCTGTGCTGGTTTTTTTCATGTGTTTCATAACACACCATGCAGAAGAGTTTGAGCAGAAGAGACTTTTTGAAGAAACTCTCAAGACCTAGAGACTGAGCACTCTTGAGATATGTAGATTTAAATTACTGGCTCGTCATGTCACTTTTGTTTTGTTTTGTTTTCAAAGAAAGGAAAAAGCAAAGCAATATCTATATAAGCAATTGAGCCAAACATATTTCAGCTTTAATTAGGGCAACACTGAGTAGAAAGATGTGCAAAAATGAAAGAGATTAGAATTGCATTACGTTTTAGGAAGTTTTGGTTGAAAGGATGCATTGATCTGTTGGATGATGCTAACATCAAAATACCACTGTTTTTGTGGAAGGTAATAATTATTAAAATAAAAATACCTTTAAAATAAAATGCCTGGAAGAATGATGCAGCTTTTTTCAAGTGAAATCTTCCACAAGAAACATTTGTAAATAAACTAGACGCTGTAGTTTGCTGTATTCTATGCTGATTTGTTTTTTTTTTTAAATCCTAAGAACAGAAATTTTATTTTAGCAAGAAGAAACATTCAGTAATTTCTCCTGCAAAGCAAATGTGACACTCTTAAAAGATAAAGTTATCTGAAGATGCTTGTATTTCCCTCTGTTAATTCATCTTCCTATCTGCCACAAAACCAAAACAAAAAACCCCATGAGGTTAAGACCAAATTTCTCTTCAAAAACTACAAATACAAGGATCCTTGGTCAGGTAAGTAATCAGCTTTTTCCATGTCTCTTGAATCTTCCAAATTCTTCAGTCTTGGCTCAAGTATTGTTAGTTAGCAGTTAATAAGAAAAGAAGATAAGTTTTCTAAGTGTCTTTCTTTCCAATGAAGTTAATTTGATACCATTGTCTTTTATAGTCAAAAATGCATTTGTAAAATTATTTCTTTTTCTTGAATTCTTGGTTGCCATAGCTGGAGCCCTTTTCTATTTCCGTTACTCCTATCAGTCTGCGGCCTCCAAAGGATACTTTATATAGGAGGGAAAAAAGATTGCATTATTCCAGGAATAATTTCAATATTCAGTAGCAAAATTTATATACACATACAGATACAAACATACGCCAAATACTGTAAATTGGATATTTTAAAGTACCAAAATCTTACACCAAGATAAAATCTGTAATTTTACAAAAATGAATATATACATAAGCATTATTTAGCCATACATTCAACTTTTTGTAAAATGTATGATGTTTCTACCAGCTGTCAGGAAAAGGAAAAGCAATTCTACTGCCACAAGTATATCTGAGAACAACTCTTCAAAGGAAGAAAAATGGGTCAGTAAATCCAAAATAAACTACTACGATGGTTGAGATAGACCATTACTCAAAATTGGGGGGGGGGTCTTCTTTGATTCACTAGTACAGCTAAGCCTCCATGAACAAGTGCCCAGTGTTAAGCTGAATATCAAAAGGTAGAGAGGTATTGCATTGCTCACTTGCAAGGAAGAGCATCTTTGTAAGTTCTTAGCATGCATGAATGACTTGCAGCCAGATCAGCTTGTTGAATGTCAGCTAAGGCAGGATAATTCAATAGGCTAAATGGTCTTGCAGATCACGTTTAAATGACTACTTGTTAGGTATTGTTAAGCATGAAACATGGACTCTGCATAAATCACAGACATCAGCCATTTGTTTCTAAATTCAGTTCATGGCTAGCCTTGGCTCCTAGCTGGTTTTAACTGTTTATTTCAGGGGGAAAAATGAAACCTCAAATACAACAATGCAAAGATGTTAAGAAATTTTATGTCTCTATATTTCAGAATTTAAATTTTAGATTTCTTCCTCCCTCTTTTGGCATTGCCAAATACTTGGCGGTTCACTTGAGGGCCAGAACTTTCCCAATTTATTACAAAATTGATAGAGGCTTGTGACTCTGTATCTTGCACTGTCATTTTCTGCAACTTCACCAAATGGTAGAATACAGGTATTCCTCAATTTACCACCAGTCGTTTAATAGCAGTTCAAAGTTATGATGGTCTTGGAAGAAGTGACTTACGAGCCATCCTCAAAGTTATAACTGTGACACCACCCCTATGGTTGCATGACTGCAGTTTGGGTGCTTGGCAACCCAGCTTGCATTTACAATGGTTGCGGCATCTGACAATCATATGACCATGATTTGCAGCCTTTCCAACCAGCTTCCAATAAGCCAAGTCAATGGGAGAAACCGGAGTCCCTTAATGACTGCAATAAAATGGTACTGAAACCAGATTGGTGTTGATGACCAACATTACAACTGTGTCTAATTTATGACTGAAATTACAGTCCTAACTGTGGCCATAAGTCAAGGACTATCTGCATATACAATCTTATATTTGAATTAAGATACATGCAAAGTAGAGACTCAACAGGACCAAGCAACTGAAACTGGGAAAAAGGAAAAAATTCTACTAACTTTGATAAATGTCTACACATAGGTTAACGATCTTTTAGTATCATTAACAGAAATACATCTCCAGGATTTTTCCTTTCTCCTCCTAAACTGATTTCATCTGTCAAATTCTATAATTAGCATACTTTTGCTTTCTTTTATTTTTTCCAGTGGAAACTTGATTCAATAAGAATTTGTAATAGTTCTAGGACAGCCAGCCAGGGAATAAAAGTAAAAGGGACAAAATAGATACAAAAGTAATTTCAGTTCTAATGAATGGGTTATAAAAAAGTGTAAATGCTGGTAAGGCAATATGCAAAACACCACATTACAGTGAATTTAATCTCTTAAAATTCTGAGAGGAAGAGGCTCAGCACAAAATTTGAACGATTGCTCTGAAATTAGCCTAAAAGATTTTTTTAAAAATATCATAAATGACTAACTAATTTTTTTGTTAAAGCGCCAGTTCAAAGCAGAAATAACCTCAACAGGTACTATTTATTTGAATTGATTTACAATAATCATAAAACTGTGTTCATTTGATTTAAAAAAGAGAGAGTCCAATGTGAAGGGTCTACTTAAAAAAACAACAAAACCTACGGCCTGAAACACACATACCCCAACACAGTTTGGCCAAACAAGCAATCTCTTGAAACTAAATCTTAAAAAACATGGGTAATTCTCTTGCAATAAAAGCCAAAGAATCTCATAACCCTCTTAAAAATGAACACTTGTGTTATGGCTTAAATATTAATGGAATTCCATAGAATCCACTCTTGATTAACCCAAGGTTTCTTCTTTTCAACAGCATAACCTGGACCATCCATTTATTATTTACACACTAGTAAAAATTAGGAAAGATTATGCTTTTCAGATCTACTGCAAATCATCCAGAAATCTGAAACTTGGTTCCAACATATTTTTTTACTCATCCTTGCAGAAGAGAGCAAATACCGATAAAGATGTTTATGATTTGGGGTCTGATATGTAATGTCATTACATGGGATATATTAAAGGAGTCATTAGGGAGTAGCTTTTAACATGGATGTTCAGAATAAATTTGAACTATATATTGCAAGTCAATTTGACATAAGAAATAAAGTTAAAATAAGGGATAAAGTAGTTATAGCAACCGCTGTGCTCTAGTGAAAAAGCTTTCTTCAACCAGTGTCTCAAGATGACTTGCAACTAAAACTTCCAGGATTTTAAACCAGAATATTATGGCTATGAGACTGGAATGAAATGTATAAAGGTAGCTGGGGAAATATTAAAAGGCATTCAATATTGTCAACACCATTCTTCCCCATCCTGTCACTGAGCTGATTATACAAGTAATTTTTGGGAGAATTGGCCACTTGATAAAATGCAGACAACTGGCTACATGAACATTTTCAATTCGGTTTTTATAGCCCACTCTAGCCAATTCTATTACCTGCCCCAACAAAGCAGAGGAATGCAAGAATCAGAAGAGGGGATCCACTTGCAAAAATTCCAAAACCAAATTTGAAAAGAGGAGAGAGAAGAACAGCAGCCCAGAAGAGAAAGTTGAGGAGAGTCCATGGTCTTCTGGGAGGTTTAAATTGTTGCCCAGGAAATAAGCCTTCTTGATTATACTTCTCTTGTAAGGCATCCTTGAGGAGAGAAAGAAGTTTTTTTTTTAATGTTCTAATTACTTATGCTTTCTTCCATATACCAGTATATTGGTAAATACTATAGAGTTTTTCAATTCAGAAAGAATATTGCTGGTAGAATTTTTCCCTGCAAAGTGCCAGGTATGGGGGCGACTGAGGAAAAAAATAGAAAACAATCTGAGCAGCATAATATATAGATTGCAGAAAAGCACCTTTCAGGATTTGAGAGCTCCTCACACTTGTTGATAGAATGGCAATGACACTTCTCCAAAACGGAGAGCAAGTAAAAACAAAAGATCTCTCTCTCTCTCTGTCCCAAAGGTGATTTTTCAAAACTGGACTTTCTTTGTTTTTGCTTGAAGATATTTCATTTTTCATCCAAGAAGCTTCTTCAGACCTGACTACAAGCAAAAATAAAGAAAGTCCAGTTGCCTTTGGAACAACCATGACTTGGATGACTGAGAATCTCCGTAGACATCTTTCTTTCTCTCTCTCTCTCCCTCTCCCTCCCTCCTTCCATCCATCCATCCATCTGAATTCAATGTATAAACAAGCATTCTGCCACCAGCAGCAATCAAATGATTTCAGGAAGTCTAGACAAAGAGTATGAGAATTCAACAGACAGGATAGGACTCATTCAAGTATGTATGATCATCATTCTCCGACACTTTTCTCCTTAAAACTGAAGATGAATGGTCCCCAAATTAGATATAGACTCAGATACTGAGGCATCAAAAAAAGAAGAAAAGAAAAACATGCAATTCCACCTTTTAAAATTTATTTTAAAGCTAACAGTAGTCATTGGGGCAAATAAGGTTAGGAGCATTGTTCTAAGGAAATATGCAGATATCATAGCAGGACAATTTTATTAATCCTCTTTAACAACTTCATAAATCATCATGCAAGATCTTTATTATGGAGCTTTCACATTGCACTTAAAGAGAAAAAACACTTGGAATACTGTTTATTCAAAAATAATCGTTCCATTAGCACACAGCCTTGCAAGTTTTTAAATGCAAACAACTCATTTACCTTTTCCTGATAAAGTGTATGAAGCCACTTCGCTGCTTCTTTTTCATCCAAAGGGATATCTTCTAAAGGAAACCTCCTGGGTTATAGAAAAAAGATTCAATAAAGAGTTTTTATTATAGTGACAATAATAAAATATTTTCAGAATTAAAAGATGTTAACATTGTTCTCTCCTTACCAGACCTCTATATCCTATAAAAATGCATTTTATGAATGTACCCTTGCATTGTAAATGGCTAGAACAGGCGACATATGAAAAATGTAGCAGTAATTCAATATAGCCATCACCTGTTGTTGTTAATTGCGAAGTCGTGTCCGACCCATCGCGACCCCATGGACAATGTTCCTCCAGGTCTTCCTGTCCTCTACCATCTTCTGGAGTCCATTTAAGTTCACACCTACTGCTTCAGTGACTCCATCCAGCCATCTCATTCTCTGTCGTCCCCTTCTTCTATTGCCCTCAATCTTTCCCAGCATTAGGCCCTTCTCCAGTGAGTCCTTCCTTCTCATTAGGTGGCCAAAGTATTTGACCATCACCTAGATTGCACTTAAGAGTATATATTATCTTTTGTCTCAGTCTTAGTCTTAAATGTTTTTGCAGGTGGGCAAAAATGCCATTCTTGCACTCTTGAGCAATAACTGTCAAATCTGAAACAATGGCTTAACCTAGTAAGTTCTCATTTCAAAAATTAAAATCAATGAATTATATTTACTGAATTGATGGAAGTAATGTTTTGTATCTCTTATGCCAGGAACCTATCTCCTCCAATTTTACTGACAATTTAACATCAAAAGATGAAAGGTCATGGCTACAAGACTGAGCTCTAAGCCTCTGCTTGAAATCTTGACTTTACCATGAATTCTTGCACAAGAGAAGCAGCAAATGAGAACAATTTGCACAACAAAGAACCTGAACAATTAAATATCCTGGGATACAGCCCTCCCAAACCTGTTTAGGTGGACTTCCAATCATTGCATGTGTTCTTGTACTTGAAATGCTCCTGGCAGAGTGGCCCTATGGGATGAAACCGAGTTACCATTTTGCTAAATTTTCTGCACAGCCTCTGTAAGATTTTATGTATCAAATTAACCTTACCAAAAATTTACTTAGGCTGCAACCCTATGCATACTTACCTGGGAATAAAACCCTCTGAACACAATGGAACTTACTACTGGATAAACTTATATAGGATTGCACTGTTTATTCAGTTATGTAGAAGGTTGCTGAAAGGTTGTACAAGTCTGAACACAGCCATCCATTGAATATTTTGCTTGTAGAATATCCACATTGAACCTAAATGGCTACAAAAGTGGCATACATCTGTAACCTTCAGTACGATATATGGCTAAACTATTTTCCCTTGCTGGACAATACTGATCCTACTCGTATTCTCTGCATAGAGATTGCTAATTAAATCTGTCAGTGAAATTGTATGATCACACCCTGCAATAAATTTGCCACTAGGGAGGGCTGATAGCAAAGATCATATAATGAACAATGTTCTTATCTGAAGCTAATCCTGAACATGGAAAAAAGCATTTGCTTTATGTAGAAATGTGAAATGTGTTTTCTGTAAAATGTATTGCATTGTTTCAAATTTCCCCTAGTAGTCCAAGACAGCACAGGCAACATCTGCTAGGTGTTTATCTCATTCAAATGAATTCAAAGACTTCACTAAGGTCCTTACTGCTTTCTTAAATGGTTGCAAAGGAGTGCTTTCTACAGATTGGGGAGAGCAGCGGAGAAGAAGGCCCTCTTCCATTTTTCCAAGATGTTTATTTTATATGACACATTTTTGAAGTTTTGAAAGTTCTATATCTAGTGACCATAATAGGTTTTCACACTAAACCTCAAGTCAAGTGAAACAACAGAGAGTAAATTACCACATTTTAAGGAAATTGACTATCTTAGATCCCCTATATTTGCTTCTGTCCACTAATATTCATAGGAAAACAAGTCTCTTCCAAACTAAGTCTGAAAAGCTAAAGATGGGAAAATGTAGAGGTGTGGGGTGGCCGTTTTATTGCAATAATTGGACACAGTGACAGCTCTCAGTTGTAAACCACGGTAACACACTCACCTGACACACATATCTGCTTCATATTTCTTTCCATAAAGGATTCCTAATAAAGATGGGTTTTTGTTTTCTCTGAAGTTTAATGTTACATCATACACTGCTGAAACTAACACAAGAAAGATAACATTATTGTTTCAATATTCAAATGCCTGGAATTCAACAGATATTATTATATTAAAGGGCACACAAACATATATATTAGGACTATTATATCTATATTTCAGAATAATGGCTGCTAGAGTTTTAGTGGTCACACAGATTTTTGCAATCCAGCTGTGGTAGCACTAGAACAGTATTTCTCAACCTTGACAATTTTAAGGCATGTGGACTTCAACTCCCAGAATTCCACAGCCAGCAATGCTGGCTGTGGAATTCTGGGAATTGAAGTCCACATGCCTTAAAATTGTCAAGGTTGAGAAACACTGCACTAGAATTACATCCATGGGTATATCTGAATCTGGAAGCCCACCATTCTCTAAACATAGCGTGGGTTTCTACTTGGCAGGCAGATTATGCACAAAATCTTGACTGCAATCATTCCAACAAAAGGTTAGTGTTAGGGTTATAGATTCAGGGATATCTACAATGTAATAACTCACATACTTGCTCTCGTTCTTTTACTAGGTTTGGATAATATCAAACCCACATCTGTCTACAAAAAAAGGACTGAAAGCCATGGTCTGAAGGTGATTTCAACTTTGATTTGGATGCAGACAATGCTTTAGAGCAGTGGTTCTCAACCTTTTTAATGCCGCGACCCCCAACCGGTCGTAAGTCGAGGACTACTCAACCAGTTCTAAGTCAAGGACTACTCAACTGGTGCAGCACCGTTTGCAGAATGGGACTTTTGGCGGGCTCAGCAGGGCAGAGACAGCCTGGACAATTCTTATTGGCTTTTGAAAGCCAATAGAATTAGACTCTATTCAAGAGAGTCTATTCTATTGGCTTTCAAAAGCCAATAGAATAAAAGGGAGTAGCACAGCTAAGGAAAAGGGGGGAAAAAATGGCGGACTGCGTTGTTTGGCGACCCCCGTGAAATGGTCGTTCGACCCCAAATGGGGTCCCGACGCACAGGTTGAGAACCACTGCTTTAGAGTAATCCTTGACCTCTCATCATTTGATCAAAATTACGACAGCACTGAAGAATATTAGTTATTATTATTGGCCGTCAGAGTTCCAGCCCTCCATAGTGACATCCCTATAACCCCATGGTGACATGATTATGGGCATTTGGCAACTAGTTCACACTTACAATCAGTTACAATGTTCCACGACCATATGATTGCCACTTGCAACCGTCCCTGCTGGCTTCCTCAGAAAGTCAATAGGAAAGCTGGCAGGGAATGTCGCAAGTTGCTGGGAAAAGTTTCCCCCACCTGTGCATCTACTATGTGTGTGTGTGTGTATGTGTACAGTCAATAATTAGTTCATAAAATTCACCATGTACCTAAAACAAACTGTGATTCATTGATTAATTAATTAGGTGAGCTATAACTCAAACTGCAGTACATCTTACATAATATTTGATGGAATTTGGCCAGAATCACTTGAATCCAAAAGCAAAAGTTGTAAATAAATGATCTAAATGATGGGGAAATTTAATTAAATGTGAAGTTAACAACCCACGGTTGATATTAGCATAAAAACAACTGAATAGTAAGATGTATCTGGTGGTTTCAATGTCTGCTATGGGGCCAACAGAGCCAGTTCTTAAACATTTAGCAGCATCCTATAGGCCCTCCTAAGTTTCGGGATGGTAATTTGATTTAAATATGTAGCGGTCTGAAAGGAATGTGAAGCCTATTTAAAAATAGTATTTTGGGAGACACATCAAACGTCACTGAATATTACTGTCCTTAAGAATGTCTGATAGCTTCTACAGTATGCTTATGCCTTAGCAAGAAAGGAAACCATAGAGGTTCCAGTTTCTTACATATTGCTTTGACCCCAAATAAAACCAAATCAGAAAGGACTTGGGGTGGGTGTTAGGAAGAAAAACACTTTAATACAATACGTTGAAATGTGTATTCAAACATTCATTCTGACTTACTGTCAACCTGTCTTTATTTTTTAATATGAAAGACTAATGTAAAATAATATAATTGTTGTCTATTAGAGAAAAGAAATGGAGTGAGTTTCTAAACCAATTTAGCTTCATGATCCACAGTGCTCACTTTATGCTGCTGCTGGAAGAATGTAGTTAAACATTTAACCCATCCATAGTATTTAGCCAGCCATCTATCCTATTTAACACCTTTTTCCTATGTGGTATAACATGAACTTACATCTCACACACATGCTGCTGCGAGTGCTAATTAGGCAATGTTTGGACTCCGCTTAGAAACGTGAAGTGCTAAGTAGCATTATTAATTTCTCTGAATAAAAAAGAAAACTAATCAAAGTATTGAGAGTTATTTACATTATCAGGTTCACCTTTTAAATGTTTAAATACTAAACACTGTGTCAAAGCAAATATTGCATGTTGAAAAATTTAGTGGCTATCAAAACAATTATATTAAGAAACATAATATGCATATTCACAAACATTGTAAGCGAGGCCAAGGTACCTGTTCCCCTGAGACATTGGACAGCAGTCGTAAAACCTTTGGTTCTGGGCAACAAGTGATACTTGAGTTTAGGCAATCCTTTGGATTCAGCCACTTCCATACTGATACGATGCTTAGTTTCTGTAAATCGAGTTCCTTCACAGTATAATAGAAACTGTAGCAAAGAAGGGGGGGTGGGTGGGGTGGGGTGCATTACAGTACTGTTAAATTGTTTTATAAAAAGTTTTATAAAAAGTTTTAGGTCATGAAGACAACTAAAATAAATGTGGGTTTAAATCTGGGTCCAAAGTCTTTTGCCTTAAAATAAAGATTAGAGAAACTTCACAGCCTATAGCCTTTTGCCCGGAAAGCTTCTCCTTGGAAAATCAAACAAACATTAAATCAAAACAAACATTAAATCAAACAAACATTAAAATTTCTCAATCTTGGCAACTTCAAGATGCATGGACTTCATTTTCCAGAATTTTCCAGTCAGCATGCTGCATGATGGCAATGTTTTGTGCCATGGCTGTCTGATTTTTCCAGCCCAGATACAAAATCCAGGTCCCAGCTGCGGTTGTTGAATTAGGTGTTCTGAAGCCGGGTTCTGCTTGGGTTGCCTTGAAGCCAGAATCCTTTCTGTGAATATAGGGGCTTCATTTAGACAGGTCCCAAATAGCACAAAAAATTCTCTCTATTAAAAGAATGGACAATACAAGCTTGAACCTCTGAAAGCCATGTAGATAGTTTGGCGAAAGATGGCCCTATTGCTCTTTTTAAAGTGCTTTAACTGTATTGTACCAATAAGCGATAGCTTGCTTCAGTTATGACTGATCTGCATATACGTTACATCTGTCTGTAAATGACTGAAGACTGAATGTAATGATATATCCCATAAAAGCTATGGATTTAATTTAATAACTTTATATATCTATGTATGACAGGAAAAACAGATTGTGTACTATATATAACCAATGTTACGTCTTATGAAAACACATAAATTCAATACACATACTTATACAAATCTGTATTTTTCACTATCCTATTAAAAGAGTTGATGTGCAGGACTTCACTTACCCACATATACTCAGGATAATCGGCTAGTCGTTTTAACCCTTCAACAACAGTGTCTCTGTCTTCTTCCCATTTTCTTTTGCAAAAAACGATCTCTAAGAAGTACCACGTCCAGCCAATTATGGGTACAAACAATAGTTCTTTCTTTGCAAGAACTTTTGAACTCTAAAACACACACAAACATTGTTTGTTCATCTGAAATGTATCATGGGCAAATACAACTAGTTTCAAACGTGTTCTGAAATAGCCTAAAGAATTTCTCCAAAATTATCTATTTCCTGTCCAAAGTCTGGGGTATAGGTCAGGTTGAACTAATAACTGTCTCAAGAGCACCCAAAAAATTCATAACAAGTGTAACTTGGAAATTGTGCCTCCCTAACTAAACTACATTGACTCTCTTATATTCAATTTATTTTAATTTAATCCAATAAGTTAGCGCAAAATAAATACATCTAGTCTAAGAGCTTCCTACTCTTGGATTAAAAAAAACAAACACAAAATGTCAAATTCCCTAACCCCAATTCCAAAGAACAAAACCATATGTTAAGACCACTTACCCCTAACACACCAAACCGTTCTGTCATGGTCCAGCCACACAGAAAATCTATTTCAAAGTTGTGGTTGAGAATGATGATGACATGTTCTTTTCCAAACTTATCAATTGTGGCCTGGTCTGTGAATAAAGTGCATTCTGTTCCAGACCACCATTCCAGCAACATCACTAACTCTAGATCACAGGAGACAGACACACACACAAAAAAATCAAATGTTAGTTATGACAAAGCCTATATTTTAACTTGGTCTTTGCTTGCTTAGTAGATATTAATTCTACAACTGCATTACTTACAGAGGACAGAAAAAAGAAATATGTAATCTACAAATCCTATTAATGTGCAGACCCAGGCTCATATTTTAAAACAGCTATTTTTCTAGATTTCAGCAATGCTTGGAAATTTTAACTGAATAAATTTGACCAAGATTTTCAATACACTTTAATCCTAAACAAGTGCAACATTTTTATTAATAGGAAGAATATCGTTTTTCAAAAGCTCTTATAACACCAGAGGCATAATGTTGCCAGCTTGCCAGCTATTAAACACAGTTAAATCCATTCTAGTTTATGCATAGGACTATGCATTTACTTTATCCTTCCTTCTTTCCATTCTGCAGCAAAATTTTACTCTCTTGTCATTTCTTACTAACACAATATAGCTTGAGGCAAAAGTGAGAAGCAAAGCTGAAATATTGATTTCTCTAGGACTAGGGAAAATTGTGTGTGTGTGTGTGTGCGTGTGCGCACGCGCGCATATGTGTGTTAGTCTATTTAATCATAACTCCTACAGTATTTTTCCATACTAAACATTGGTAATTATTGGCTGAAAATTGAATAAATGGTACATTATGTTCTATAAAAATTAGCCAGCTAGCCTGAGAATGTTTTAAAAGAGTACAATTAAGGTACACTGTTAATAAGTTCAACCTTTAAGCTTCTTCATTTTAATACTCTGTTTAAATATTAATAGATTTAGCTTTGTTCAATCTGCTGATTGGCAAGCCTAAAACAGAATTATTCAGTTGTCTGCCCAGCAAAGCTTCTTGTTCTCAGTGCTATAGATCTCAAAAGCCATGAGACAGGATTGTATGCCTAGAGTGTAGAAGAATAGTTTCTAGCTGCTATTTCTCCCAATGTTGAGTATGCAGTTTTGTTTTTGATCAGTGACAAATTATTCAGTGCTACTAATAAAAATCAAAACTGACATACTTAAAATAAAAAGAGAAAGGTCATTAAAGTCCTAATGAAAGAATTTAATACAATCAGGGGCACAATGAATATTGATAAGTCCTTAGTGCTGTCTGAGCTTGTTTCATTATTTTATTACCGAATGAAACAATGATTAGCACTGATGATGTTACCTAGTTTTGGTAATGAAACATCTGGAAGAATACAACCAAGCTCAGAAAGCACCAAGAACTCCTCATTTCAACCCTGAGCTAGAAATATTCTCCTTTATTGATACAATGATTATTGGATGGCAATGCTGCATGGTCTCAATCCAATATTAAACTGTAATATCATGCAACTTGGGAGAGGAAATGCCAAAATGTCTAAAATTTTAAAAAAGTCCTAGGATTTAATTCCTTGAGCCAACTGAGATTTTTACTATTGTTTTTGCTCAAACAAGCCTAGCAGCAATACTAGCTATAAAGCAAAGAGATGATAAAAGTATTAATAAAATTGAAGCCAGCAAACAAACATTTGAAGTCAAATGCTTCAGAACAGGAATGGAAATGCCTGCATAAATAATAATATGATGACCCCTAAAAGCTAAGCAGTAGTTTATAGCATATCCTTTTTTTTGTTTTTTTTATTTCGTAGAAACATCACAATTACTTTTGCTTTTCCTCTCACTGTTATTCAATTATTCTGGGAAATTATGAGAACTATGCTCAACGTGCTGGCGATTAGCAGTTCAGGAAATCCAGTTACAGAATATTACTTAATATCAGATACTCTTTTTTGCACTAAGTAGCTGCCAAAATTGCATACTCTGAAAAAATCCATTGACATTGTATAGTTTATACATCTGATATCAGTAAGTTTGCCTCCTGCATTTCAAAGTTCAGCTTGATTAGTTAAGTGGTCTCATTTGTATTCAGCAGTGTAAAAAAAAAAAAGTCATGGCTCTTTTTAAAATTCCAATACGTATTATAGGCTGTTATCTTCAGAAATACTGCAAATAATAAATATGAATATAATAAAGTCTCCAGTTGGGTTTAGATGAATCATTAGACATGTTAGCATTAAAAACTGAAATAGTTAAGTCATTGAGAAGAAGCCAGCACAAGTAAGGTTGGACCACAAATTCTCTTCATTAATTATATATGTAGCCAAGTGGGTTCTCTGGGAAAAAGTCAGACAAAACATCCCCACTCCTTTGCATCAGGAAGGAGCTTTACAGAGAAGTATAGCATTGACAATTGAGTCAAGAGCTGCTCAACAAGAGATGCAATTCTTGCCTCCTAAGGAAGAAAGTCTGAATGACTCAAACATGGCTGGCATCCCAAGGTAAGGGAAAGGTTTTAGGTTCCAAGATTACCTCATCAAATACCTATACAATGCCTGAAACTCCTTTCTAGAGAGTTTCTTTCCAGAGACATTTAAATTAGAGAAACCTGAATGTAAACAGCTCAGTTTGAACTATGCTATGAATAAAGTATTTGTCATCTTAGACTACCATCAACTGGTATCTATTTATCTCTTCACATTACTCTAAATTCAATGCTTGATAAGTCACAAGATCTGCTGTATGTCCTCAAATGATGAGACACATTAAGTGATGAGTTATGGGTGAATCATCCTCAAGGCAAGAATTCCTTTAAAGGAAAAAAGCTAAACTGCTAGTACATTAGTTTCTGCAGATAAACAAATTTGAGAGTTAGACATTTTAAAAACAAAAAGTTAAATAGTTGCTGCTTTTTGGAAGAGACCATACCAAAATCTCTCTCTTTGAAATATATTGATTTAGCATCATAAAGTTAGGTGTCCTACTCACTGCAGCTTGAGCTCCAGTGAATTCCATCTTGCTAGTGATCAATGACAAGATGATCTTATTTAGTCCCAAATAGACAAATTAGTCTTTGGTGCTTCATGGACAGAATCCCTACTGAAAAACCCACAGAAGCAAAGCTTTTGTTGGTTTCCGAGTGTCTGAGTTCTCATTAGATATATAACAAAAAACTTAGAACTGCTTTCAATCTGGTCACAAAACTTGGAGACATTTTGTTTGGCTGAGTTCTGAATATGGTGTTACTTAGCTCTTTTCTAGCCTCACTTTCCTTTTTACTCATTATATTGGTATAATGGTCTCCTAGTACACAAATATTTCCAGTGGCAGATTTGACTCGCTTAAAGCTCTCCCTAGAAACCTATTTTTTAAATTAGAACTGTACCTGAAATCAATGTGGGAAGAACCAGGAGAAACTGTATCTAACATGATGACAATTAAATTAAGAAATGTCTCTGTGCATTATTTTCTCTCCCTGTCAACACTAAAAGCTGCAGTTCACTAGCACTGTGGAGGGGCTTTGGAGTGACACCAAATACTTTTGAGGAGGCATGCAACTTTGAGATTTCAGATTGTGCATCTCAGTCTTAAAAGGATTACTCATGTTTAGTCTTCATGGTCTAACACAGTGATGGCGAACCTTTTAGAGACCGAGTGCCCAAACTGCAACCCAAAACCACTTATTTATTGCCAGGTACCAGGTGGGTGTGGCCCACTGGATGGTCATGGCTGCGATGGTCATAGCAGATTGGGTGGGTGTGGCCAAGGTGGGCTTGATCACCTCAATGTTGCTCGTGGGGAGAGATGCCTGTGGGGGCCGGGCAGGATTGGGGGAGATCCAGAGGGTCTCTGGCAGGTGGGGTGGTGGACAGGACAGATGGTAGGGGGGTGAGGTGAGACAAGGCAAGGCAGGGTGGGGGTGTCATTATCAAACAGCAAGACGAGGCAGGGGCAGCTGCTGCCTGACACCATCGGCCCCTGCACACAGAGGTCAGCAAGCACATGGGTACTGGGATGCATCCAGCCATGTGGGACCTCGATGAGTTAGTGGGCGGCTGATTGAAGAGGGGCGGTTGCCATCTCCGGGGCATGGCGCGTATGCCCACAGAGGGGGTTCTGAGTGCCGCCTCTGGCACGCATGCCATAGGTTCGCCACCACTAGTCTAACATGAAGCTCTAAATTCTTCTTTTCATCCCTTGTATCTAAAATCCTTTAACTAGAGATGCCATTACTTGAACCTCTTGCTGTGTATTAAACACAGAAAGTAAATTTTATTTATTTATTATATAGAGAGTATATGCCACACATCTTGCTATCAAACATTTCTTGGGCAGCTTATAACAAGATTACACTACAAAATTATTCTTTTGTCTCTTCTGAAATGAGGTATAAGTAATAACTTTTTATACTCTAAACAAAGCACTTTTTCCACCTGACTTGTCTCACTAGAGTGGGAATTTAGTTAATTTAATTGCAGTATTATTTTTTTCTTGCAAGTTCTACCACACATAGCCATGCTAACTAATAATCTGAAATATATTTTTTTCATTTCCTTAAATTATTGATAGCAGGATTATCTTAAACATAGAAATATTCTGAGCTCCATAGTAATCAAAAGAAGTAAGTGTATAAAAAAAGAGATGAAAAGCAGACCCTTATACATTTTCATGAACAAGAGTTATGCACTAAGAATAATATGCTCAATCATATCCAAATGGAAACAGGAAGGAACTTTAAAGTGAGAAACTATGTTTTGAGTTATAAACTAATTTAAATCGATCTTATTGATTTTCAATATTTTTTGTGTGTGACATTCATTGTCTATTAAGAAACAACTAATTTATATTGGAACTATTAATTTCTTCTTTTCCAGTAAATATTTCTAGAAGTGACACTTTGCATGTCTAACAGATCTGATTTATTAATCATCGCTAGAAATGTTAGCTTTTTATGTCATTGTCAAGTTTTTATTCTAAAAACAAATATGATTTTATTGAAATTAAATCCTTAGTACTTAAGTCTAAGATATATATCCCTCTGCAGTTATCCTTCCCTTCATTAAAGCATTGCTTTAACTGATATTTCTCAAAAGTATTATGATTGCCTTCTTTTAAAATTTGAGATGAAATGGTTCCTACTTCAGTGAGATATCCTGTAAGATATTTCCTTAATGGCAACATTAAAGTTTTATGCTATCAGGGCAGACAAGCTATTTTGTGTCTCTGTTTGTGTGTTTGTATGTGGTGTGTGTGTGTGTGTGTGTGTGTGTGATTGAAAAGGGGTGAGCAAGGGAAGACGCTAACAACTCCAGAAGAGGTGCTTTAGGTATCAAAAGAGTGGGAATTGGTTTTCCTTCTCCATCTACTTCCTTCTCATGAGAACCTATTTCCCTTTCATTCCAGTAGCCACCATACCTACAACTACAAAGAGTTAGAAAATCAGTAAGAGAGAAAATCAGTAAGAGATATTTTGTGTTTAAGTCCATGCACAAATAATTCAGAGACACCATTTCTTGAGATGAGCCCTAGATCATCCCAGAGTTGTAATCGTTTTTTGTGCAAATATGTTTCTAAAGCACAATCCTTTATTCTGCTCCAAAAAAGGATCTTCTACAGCATGGGTGGGGAACTATGGCCCTTTTATGACTTGTGGACTTCATGCTGGCTCAGGAATTCTGGGAGTTGAAGTCCACAAATCATAAAGGGGCCATAGTTCCCCATCTCTGTTCTTCAGTGTGAGAAGAAGCCAACAATCTGAATAAGTCACATTCCAAGCTAATGCAGAGAAACTACAATATACTCACGGCTCCACAATGAATAGGAAAGGCGACAGTTTACTTGTCGATAAAACTGCTTGTTTATAGGCCAGAGGATTAACGTGCATAGTTGGATGAAGTTAATGATGAAGCCACTCACAACAAAGACAAATCCGATCAGGAGGTGAACTATAAACTGGGTCTTCAGAAATGCAAGAATGCCCATGATAGTCCCTTATTAGCGTTTGCAAGGTCCTTCACTCAGAATAACAATCCTAAAAAAAGGAAAGAAAAATATTGCTTAGCAAATTAAAATGTTTGTAATCTAGGGAATAAGTGGGGGAGGGGGAAGACAGAGAGTTCTTCTAATAGCAGCTCGGGAACCATAAAAGACATTTTTGTCACTGGGCCGATTCCATTCAGGTTCTCTCTGGCTGTGGGTCAAGAATTGGTTAGCACTCTGAATTACAGTTTCACTTCCAAGCAACAGTAATAGGAGATCTTGCTATTAAATGACTATCCAGTTGTAATATACTTTATAGCAAAATTGTTTTCCAAAAGTCCTAGCCTCTAAAAAAATATACAAAACTGGCCTAATTTCAAGGACATTTTGGCTTTTGCCCTGCACTGAAATATTAATTTCAGTTCCTTAAAAAGGAATGGACTATCAGCAGTTCTTCCTTAGCCCCAGACAGAGTGGTCTCCAACATACATAGAAAGACTCCAGCAACATGTACTTTCTACCACTGCCTTCATCTTATCTCCAGCTTATGAGTGGACCAGTCTTAAGTTATCTCTGGTTTGTATTCTATTCCAGCACCTTTCAAGGGTCATCTCATAGCATGTAAAATCTATAAGTTATGTCATACTTGGTAGTGGAGAGAATCCAGGTGACAAATAGAGAAAGAATAGGTCAGCAGAAATGTGTGGTCAGCATATTTCAAGTGAGTGTAGTCTTCTTCTGACTCAAGTACAAGTGGATAGCAATTTCTTGGAATAAGGGGAGTAAGGAAAAAATGAATATAGGCTTAATGCCTTGGCACATTTCTTCTTCCCAAGCAACCTTTTTTTCAAAACTGAATGATACCTAAAGAAAAATGACATCAGCCAACAGGAAGGCTTCATATCTTAGTTGGTTAGAACTAAATATAACCTACACTTGGAATAACATTATGAACCAAGGTAATCCAGTTTTTGAGTCAAGAAAAATTAAATCTTGTGAGAATTCACATATTTTTAAACAGACTGGAATCTGCCCCCCCCCCAAAGAATAGATATTAATAATTCTGCATTACTCCCAAAAAATTCCCTGCTGCTTTTGTTGCAAAAATATAACCATCCCTCTGGAGAGTATACTTTTCTTGGGTTGCAGAAGCCAAAAGAAAGAAAGAAGTAACCATTTTATTTGTATCAGGGAGCTAATCCAGCGAGCAGAGTCCTTAACATGTTTCGTTATTCCAGAAATAAGATTTGACATTTCAAATACTAATATAACATCTCTGCTGGGTGGCATTTTTTTCATAGGGCAGAATCTGTTAGCTTAAAAGTATTTCCATTAATGTCAACACTGCTCAAATTAAATTATGATAGAAATCTAAAAGCTTGTAACCATACATTAAGATTTAATTTTTGAGCACTTTTAAGGATTAGAGCTCGTGAAGCAGGAACCAACAGTATACAGTTCAGACAGAATCACTGTAAAGTCTAAACCTGGAACAGATGCTTTTGACTCTTAAGTCTGGGGAAAAACCCACTTTCTGGAGAGGGTGGGAGAAATAAGGCTTAAGTTTAAACCTCCCTGTCTGTCTGTCTATTTTCTGTGTTCTGCAGAGAACTTGACTTATAACACGGACTGCAGCTCTCATAATCCCTTGTGATTGGTCACATTGGCTATTAAGGCTGCTAAAAGCTAAAATCTGCCACATCTGGGCAATTATAGCTTCTTCATTTCCATCTATATCAGTGGTTCTCAACCTTTTTAATGCCGCGACCCCCAACTGGTCGTAAGTCGAGGACTACTCAACCGGTCATAAGTCGAGGACTACTCAACTGGTGCAGCACCGTTTGCAGAATGGGACTTTTGGCGGGTTCAGCAGGGCAGAGACAGCCTGGACAATTCCTATTGGCTTTTGAAAGCCAGTAGAATTAGACTCTATTCAAGAGAGTCTATTCTATTGGCTTTCAAAAGCCAATAGAATAAAAGGGAGTAGCACAGCTAAGGAAAAGGGGGGAAAAATGGCGGACTGCGTTGTTTGGCAACCCCCGTGAAATGGTTGTTCAACCCCAAATGGGGTCCCGACCCACAGGTTGAGAACCACTGATCTATATAGACCATCTTACTTGGTCTTCTGCCACATCTACTCTCCATACTTTTTTCTTATTGACAATTGCTAAGTATGGGCTGCTATGTGGCAACTGCTTATCTTTAGAATTCTAAAGTCCTGGCACACTTTAGCTTATTCATTTTCTATTGTTTTGTCTATTTTGTGGCCCCACCAATTCTTGTTTGCAGGCAAATAGTTTTTCTAGTAGATATTCAAATGTATCATTGCTGCTATGTTGTCATGCCATTGTATGGAATCAGTCTGCACAATCTTCTTGCAGCAGTTAACCAAGTGGTCCACTGTCTTCTCAATTCTGGCTTTGTATGCATTTGTTTTTAAAGTTTGGGCTTCTGCAGCTAGAATTAGCCCCTCTGCCTCCTCCTTCAATTTTCCTGCTCTTAGCCATTGCCAGGTCTTGTTATTTGTTTGCCTTTTTTTTTAACATACTGGCCATATAATACAGTACTTTGCCTTGTCATGTCTCTTTTCTATTCTTTATTTAGCTTTTCTTGTCAGTCAGTATGGGCGCTCCAATATTCAGTAAGCATTCATGGTGAACTACCTTCAGTATATCTTCTTCATTGTCCTTCAGATATTCCAATGCCCATTTTCCTTCTTCAGATTTCTGGTATACTTGCCTCAATGGTATTTCCTCCTCTGAGTTTGGACTTTAAAATATTCTTCATTCTTTTAATCTTCTTGACTTCAATGTCCTTGAGGAGGTCAGCTTGAAGGATGCCCAGGTATCTGTAGTGATCTTCATCCAGACTCTTAATATTATCTCCATAAGGCATCTTGATCCCTTCAGTTGGGAATTGACCCTGAAGAAAGGAGGTGAGCCAGCAGAACACCATGCTGCACAGCCCCAGTCCTCTGAGTCAATCCAGAAGGATTGAAGGTATCAAAAGCCACTGAGACATCAAGTAAGGCAAGAATGGACACATAATTCCCATCCTGCCCATGCCAAGAATCATGCAGAAACGTGATCAATGCCATGTTCATCCCATACCCTGGTCTGAACCCTGACTGAAAAAGCATCCAGATAATCCATTACCTCCAAGTTGTCTGGAACCTTCTCAATCCCCTTCTTCAAAAATAGGAGATCAGATACCGGATGAAAATTATCAAGTATCATGGGGTCCAGCAATGTTACAAAGTTACTTAGTAAGTGGTATTGTCTTTAAGCAGATAAATTCACTCTGCTATTGTTATGTTCTATAAATCAGAAGGACAACAAGTTGATAATGACACCTAGTTGAAGGAAAGGGTGGCTTTAAAAGTTGTCAAGGTGATTTTCAAAGACAAATCACAAACATATCTTTACTAATTATCTATAATAGGTTATTGTTTATATGAAAACATTCATGATGAAAATTTCACTTCCAATAGCCATAGGACTAATGCAGATGAACCATGGAGCACAGAAGCAGTGATTAAACTATATCAATTTATGAGGGCAAAGTTCTCTGCTTCCAAACAAGTAAGGAGAAAATCTCCCCAAAACTTTCATTTCTATTAAAAAGTGGAGTTTTCAAAAGATTGCCTTTGCTTTCTGACGATACTTAAACCATTTGTTCATCATTTTCCTGTGTTTCTATGGTGAGCAGATAGAAATAGGATATATAATCACTGCAGACAAAACATGAAGTTACCAGAGATCTCACACAGGGGATGGAAAACAGAAGTCTAGAAGGATGACTAAGACTAAAATTATACTATGCAAAATACTGGAATATACAGCCTATCATCTTATGCTGCCATTTTTTGTTTTGTTTTGTTTTGTTCTGTTTCAGAAAATTCACAGCTTCTTTTCATGACAACTTTCTTTCAGAAGGCGGAGAAAAGCAGAAGAGGTTCAGGTATCCTTGATTTGTATCTACTCCACAGGGAAGATTTCAGTTGAAGAAATCAGTGGGCAGGTTAACGGAGAAACATTGCTCCATGTAATCTGGCGGTCTTGACAATAAATGAAATGAAAGCTGAACATATTTTTTAAAAAACAGTTTCTAATGAACTCTGAATAATTATAGTTAAATGCACAGCAAATAAAACCAAAGAGAAAAGGAGCTCAAGATAAGAAATGCTAGAAGATGCTAAAAGTACAATCACAAGCAATCACAAGAAAGGGAAACATGGAGGACAACAGACAAAGTCAATATAGCCATACAAGAATTTCAGTGAAAAAAGAAGAAGGATGTATAATGAAGGTGAAATGAGGAATAGGCTACCAAGAAAAAATACAGAGACATAGCTTGGAACTATATAACTGGCATCAGGAAGACTAAAGTTCAAATGAGCTAAGGTTAGTGGATTGTAAGGAAACTCCTGGAAACTAGGACATACTCCCAACAAGACCAATCTTCAAAAAGTGGGAAAACTATGACTATAAATCTATCAATGTGACATCAATACCTGGGAAGATTTCAGAGCAGATTACAAAGCAATTGATCTGCAACCATTTGGAAAACAATGAGGTAAGAAATATACCAAGATTTGTATGTGTTTGTGTGTATGTGCTTTCAAATCAGTGCTGACTTCTGAGAACTGCCTGAAGTTCCTGCAGTTTTCTTAGCAAAATTTCAGAAGCAGTTTGCCCTTGCCTTCTTTCTAGGGCTAAAAGAGAGTGACTGGCCCAAGGTCACTCAGCTGGTTTTGTGCTTAAGGCAGAACTAGAATTTACAGTTCCAACTTTTTAGCCTGATGCCTTAATGATTACACAAACTGGTTCATTCCGACAAGTCTCGTCAAATTAAACTAATACTTTTTGATGAGGTAATCTTTGTAGTTTATTGCCACATTTTAGTAGCAAAATTGCCATTAGCATCAAACCAGAATAATACCCCAGAAAATTGGAATAAATGCACAGGACTGAGGTGAAAACATTTGGTTGCTAATGTTCCTTCTGAACAAGATAATAGGCTGCATAAACTGAAATACAGTTTCAAATCACA